GGATGATATTGTACATGAAGAATGCAGAAGGTCATTAAGAAGACAGGACAAGATCAAAATGGATGTCAGAAGAGACTGTGAAACTTGCTCTTGAATGGAGAGTAAGGCAAAGAAAATGGAAGAGATGATGAATAACAGATCTGAAGAGAAAGTTTCAGTGGGCAACTGGGAAAGGAAAAGTAAAAGTATTCTAATGAAATGTGCAAAGACCTGGCATTAGAAAATCAAAAGGGAAGAACATATTCCACATTTTTCAAGCTGAAAGAACTGAAGAAAACATTTAAGCCTCGAGTTGCAATGTTGAAGGATTCTGTGCACAAAGTATTGAACTATGCATGAAGCATCAAAAAAAAAGATGGAAGGAATACACAGTCACTGTGCCAAAAATAACTGATTGATGTTCAGCCCTTTCAGAAATTAGCATGTGGTCAAAATCCATTCGTATTGAAGGAAGGAAGAAGTCCTAGCTGCCCTGCAGGAATTGGAGAAAAACAAAGCTCCAGGAATTGATGGAGTACCTATTGAGATGTTTCAATAAACAGATGCAGTGCTGGAGGCATTCACCCATTGATCCCAAGAGATTTGGAAGACATCTACCTGGCTAATTTACTGGAAGAAGTCCATATTTATGCCCAGCCCAAGGAAAGGTGCTCCAACAGAATATGGAAATTAACAGACATTATCATTATTGTATTACACACAACTAAAATTTGCTGAAGGAAATTTAAAAAGTTACAGCAGTATATTGACAGAATAGACAGAAATTCAAGCCAGGTTCAGAAGAGGATGTGGAATGAACTATGTCATTGCTGATATCAGATTGATCTTGGCTGAAAGCAAAGAATAGCAGAAATATGTTTTTCCAGTGTTTTATTGACTATGCAAACACTTTGACTGTGTGGATCATAACAAATTATGGATAACAGTGCAAAGAATGGGAATCCCCGAACACTTAATTGTGCTCCTGAGGAACCTGTACATACACTAAGAGACAGTCCTTCATACAGAACAAGGAGATAGTGTATAGTTTAAAATCAGGAAAGGTGTGGACCAGGGTTGTATCCTTTCACTATACTTATTCATTCTGTATGCTGAGCAGATAATCCAAGAAGCTGGACTATATGAAGAAGAGTGCAACATCAGGATTAGCAGAAGACTCATTAACAACCTTCAATATGCAGATGACACAACTTTGCTTGCTGAAAGTGAGGAAGACTTGAAGCACTTACTGATGATCAAAGACTGCAGTGTTCGGTATGGATTATGTATGTTGTTGTTGTTATGTGCTGTCTAGTCGGCCCCGACTCATAGCGACCCCTCCTTGGGTTGCCAAGGCAGTATCACTACGGAAGTAGATTGCCCAACCTTCCTTCTGAGCAGTGGCTGGTGGGTTTGAACTGCCAGCCTTCTGGTTAGAAGTCAAGTGCCTTGACTACCAGAAATGCTACCAGAGTATACCTCAACATAAAGAAAGCAAAAATTCTTACAACAGGAACAATAAAGCAACATCATGACGAGAGAAGATCGAAGGTTCAAGGATTTCATTTTACTTTGATCCACAATCCGTACATATGGAAGCAGCAATCAGGGAATCAGATGAGATACTGCATTTGGCTATTAAACTGCTGCCAAAAAAAAAAAAAAAAAAAACCCCACAAAACCTCTTTAAAGTGTTAAAGAACAAAGATGTCACTTAGAAGACTAAGGTGCACCTAACCCTAGCCGTAGTATTTTCAGTAACCTCATATGAACGTGAGAGCTGGACATGAATAAGGAAACCATTGTTCAATTGGTACATTTGAATTGTAGTGTTGGCAAAGAATATTGATTGTACCATGGACTGCTACAGGAACAGACAAATCTGTCTTGGAGGAAGACAGCCTTAGAAACAAGAATGGCCACACCTTGTTTGTTGTGTTTTAGTCATGTTATCAGAAGGAACCATTCCCTGGAGAAGGATATCATGCTTGGTAAAGGAGAGGGGTCAGCTAAAAAGGGGAAGACCTTCAATAAGATGGATTGACATAGTGTCTGGGACGACATGGTAAAGATTGTGGTTCAGTCATGATAAAGATAGATTGTGAGAATGGTGCAGGAACTGGGCAGTGTTTTGTTCAGTTGTACATAGAGTCATTTTTAGTGAGAACCCACTTGGTGGCACTGGATAAATCAGTGATTTTAAAGAACATTCTTATTTTATAGCATTAACATTTTATTTAATTTTTTAGTTTTTATACATTGAACAAATGTGTCAAGCACGTTTGTATATGTATTCCAGAATCAAAGTAACCTTAATATAGTTAACAGATCAGTTGAATTTATAACGAAAGGTTATACAGAAATTCATTTAAGTCCCTTAAGAATAATTAATTGACTGTATATTCTGGTGTTTGGAATTTTATTTTTCTTATGTAGATTTATGATTTTAATTTAATCGCTGTGCAAAATTTAAGATTTCAGTGAAAGAATATGAAGCTTGTGAAATATTTTTTAAATAGGTACATTTTTAAATTTCTATTTTTTCTAGTGTTAGCTTTCTTTGAAATTTGCATCTGACAAATAAAGTGCTAGATTTAATGAGTTGGAACAAATGATATATTATCCATTTTCCATAAAAGTTTTTTGTTTAGCTTAGTATTGTGAACAAACTTGTGGATTTTTATCACTTTGGATAGTCAGTATATTCATAGAGAAATATGTGGGTGCTTTATCTTTAAATGAAGACACTTAGTCTCATGAACAAAAAATTAAATATTTTAATATTCTAAATTATGTGGTAGACTAGTGATTTTCACAGTTTACATTTTGTAGACTTCATATATTATTCCATTATTAATATCTAATAACGATGTTTGATTCCCCTAATATGAAGAAAAAAATAAGTTAGACAGTTTTCTCCAATTTAACTTATTTTCCCATACTGTTTATGTGTTTTCTTTCTGTTTTTGGTTCTTTTCATGGTGTGTTTATATTAGACCTATTAGGAATGGAATTTTATTTAGCATATATTTCTTATTCAGGCTTATAGGTAACTATGTATCTCAACACACAGACGGAAAAAATGTCTATTTCTCAAAAAGCATCATGACTTCACATTTTCCCCAACCTGCAGAAGTTTAACCACTCTTGCTAATTATTTGTGGTAAAGGTTGTTTGGATAAGATGTCTGTTCAGTCTGGAGTTACCAAGAGCTGGTAGACTGTGGAGGATGGGTAGGATTTTAATGAACTGGAGAAGATGGTAGTACCAAAGTATTATAGGAATATAAGAGGACAGACATACTACTTCTTTGTGATAAAACTAGAAGTCTAGATTTGTTTCCTAGTCAAGTAATTTTTCATTGACCTGATAGCATATCAGGAAGGAGTACTTGTCAGTATCCCCTCAGTGGAGAATGTTGTACTAAGTTTAAGGACTATTGGAGTGAATTCTTGAAGTCTTGAATAGTCTTTTATCAGAATTGGATTAGAAAGGTGTTCCCAATCCAAAGGAACTTTTTGTGCAAAAGAGGGTAATGATCCCAAGTGCTTACCATGTTGGAGGGGAGTCAATCCATAATATTGGAGGGTGGGGATGAAATAAAGGGTGGTATATATGCCAGGAGGGAACCCTGGTGGTGCAGTGGTTATAGCACTCGAGTGGTAACCAAAAAGTCAGCAGTTTGAACCCACCAGGTGTTGCACAGGAGAAAGATGTGGCATTCAGCTTCTGTAAAGATTCACAGCCTTGGAAACCCTATGAGACAGTTCTCTTGGAATTGACTTGATGATACTGGGTTTAGTTTTTGATTTTAGATTGGGAGGTATACATTGAAAAGCGAGAATCCCTGCTTTCATGGAACATGCATTTTAGTGGGAGAAATAACAAGCAGATAATTATGTAATAAAGTAGTAATGACCACTATGAAGAAAACCAGTAAGGTAAATGAATAGAGACAGCACTCGAGCATTAACCAAAAAGTCAGTAGTTTGAACCCACCAGCTGCTCCACAGGAGAAAGATGGAAGGCCTCTCTATGAGGTGTAACTTGAACAGAATAAAAGGGAATGAGTCATGTGAGTAGAGGCAGAAGAAATCATATAGTTGCTTTATGCAGCAAGGAGAACATTGTGGCTGGAGTGGACAATGCCAATAGGTTATGCTTATTGACTGTTGACTGAGTGCCAGGCTGTTCTAATGAGTTACTAGTGTAACTTGCAGCAATACTGTAGGATGGATACACATGTAAGGAAATTGAGGCACAGAAATTACATAACTTACCCAAGATCACACAGCTAATCAGGGAGCTGGAATTGGAGTAATCTGAATCCAGATTTAGTGTACTCAACCTTTATTCAAAGGTGAGGGGGTTGGAGGGTGTGGAAGGAAATTTGGTTGGTGCAGTAGTCTGGGCTAGTTCTATATAGTTAATTGTAAAGATTTAGGTTTTTATTTCGACTGTGATGTTAAATCATAGGACGGTTGAGAAATGGTCGGGAGTTTTCGTTTTGATTCTGGAGGTCAAGAGAGTGGTCTGGACTATACATACACATTTGGTAGTTTATCTATGTGTAGGTTATATCTTAACATGTTTCCTTTGGCCTGTAGCATATTTCTTTGATTTAAAATTGAGGATTGTATATCATTATTTTATTGAAAAGATATGGGCATGTATATGTATAAGTGTATATGTATAAACAAAGTGTAATGAACTCTTCTATTAATAGGTGCGAGAAGATGTACTAAATTCATTGAATAACAACTTTCTTCAAACGCTAAATCAAGCTTGGAATGATCATCAAACAGCTATGGTAATGATTAGAGACATACTAATGTATATGGTAAGTAGATTTTTTTCTTATTTTCCTTTAAGAAGTTAAGCATTTCAAAACACAGCCTTCTTGCTGCCAGATTTAGTTGGGTGGTACCTGTCAATTGAATGATGTTGTTTATTTTTTTAATAAAGAGTATTTCTTTTGCAAGGACCGAGCTAACTCTGTATGAATGGTACATCTTACTTGTTCATATGTTTACTTAATGATTAGAATGAAAGACTGAAAGGGGAAGATTTAAAATTTTTTCTTTGTGTCTAGCACTTGTACTTCAAAATGTGAAGTACTGAAAAGCCATACTTAACTTTTCTTGTGTAAAGGTAATTGAATAACAGCTTCAAAGATGGAAGCTGATTGTTCTCTCACAAGTTTTTCCTTATATTTTCAGTGACAGATGTCATAGTAATATAAATATCGTTGTAGTGATTATACTCTGATAATCACCATCTGCTTTTCTTTATCTCATTAGTTAATCTTGCTGTGTATGATTGTAGCCAATCTTGTTTAAGGAAATTTGCTACTTCAGATGTATATTCTACTTTTTACCCCTTGGCTTATTTTGAATTTTTGTTTTTATCAATCACAAAAAACCTCTTATTTCTCAAGACAATTTAGGAAACATTGAGTTAGCAAGTGGTTTAATAACTTTCAAGGTGATAAAACTAGTTTTGTTGTTACTGTTTTAAATATGAGCATTATAGAATGAAGCCAGATTCATCAAGCTCAATTAGTGTGTTAATGCAAAATCTAGTGTAGTGACTTGACTTGTTACTTTACTATTTATGTCTGGGAGTGGAGCATAATGATTTTCTCTAAAGATTTTACTTCTCTATTTCTAATTTTTATTCCAGTTTCTTTAGTTTTGAATTTTAGTTGCAGTATAGCATTGAGAGCTTGTCCTAGTTCTTTATTGAGAGAATAAAGCAATGTTATTTATACCCTGTTTCCAGTGAGAGCAAACATAGCTGTAAAGATTTGCTCTGCCAAGTGAATTCAGTCAGTCCTATTATTCTTAGTTTTGTTAAAGGCTTTAGTGGCAGGGAGTCAGGGAGAGGCTGCTTCATTTTTCAGGGATTTGATAAAAATATAACAAATTATTTAGTCTCTGAGCTTCATTTTCCTCATCAGGATTGCCAAAGGGGCAAGGAGGCCACATCTTCTGACCTCCTCTAACCCCACAAGAGGAAGACAGAATCACCATCAGTAGCCCAAGGCCTAGTCCTGAGAGGCCAGACAGGTTGCCTCCCTCCAGCCCTTTCACCAATCTTGACACCAACCATTCATCCCACAGCACCCACCACCTCTCTGCTGGGTTCGATGATTCGCTGCAGTGGCCACACAGAACTCACAGATTATGGGCTTGATTAGGGAAGCAGCAGGCTATAATTCAAGTTAAGGAACACACTCAGTCTCTCTGAGCCCGTCATCTCTCAGCCAACAGTCTCTCTCTGTGTCTCTTTCAGCAGTGCGAGTCTCTCACATCTCTCTCTCAGCAGTGCATGTCTCTTGCATCTTTCAGCCAGCAGTGAGAGATTTCTTTTGCCCCTACGAGGGCTCCTTTTGAGCCTGGCAGAGTGGTCAAACTAACCAGTTCCAACATCAGAATTCTATATACCTGAGAGAGAGAGCGAACTTCCCAGAAAATTAGTTTGTACTGCTCTCAACAGAAATACCCCAGGTGGATAACTTTAACAATCAGGAGCTACTCAGTTGCTCGTGGCAAATTCCACCAAGTAGTTTACTAAGACTTACGGCTAGAAAAGCTACACTATGTGATTTACTATACTGCGAGGATATAGAGAGAGTTACTGTGAGTTGTCATTTTGAGGATGAGATTGCATATATACATATCATGGTGTGTGGTATATATAAATGTGAAATGAGTTAGTTCACTGATAATTCTCTTTTAAGTTCTGGATTTGGTGAGTGCTTTAAATTCCTTATCAGTTCTCTAACACTAAAATAGAAAAACCACTTGTAATTTCATGTTCTGTTGTTCTATTGACAAAAAAAAAGTTTCCGTTTTATTTCAGTTCCTCTGTTTTGCAAATGAGCTCTCAAACTTTGAATCCTCACTCTACTTTTTATGTGACTGTAGTCAAGAAATGAGGAAGAAAGCCTTCCTCATTTATAAAATAAAAATCATATTCATGTTTACTTGCAGGGTCTGGCCTATAGTAATGTTAAAAATTAACTAGGGTGACTGTTTATTGTCCCTTCTGGGAGTGCCACAATCCTGGATAAAATCAGCCATGTACCTTCCCAGTGCTTCTGCTGGAGAAAACCTTATATGGGGCAGATCAGTCCCACTATGTGTCCATTGTCAGAAACCTTTAGTGGATCCTCCACACTGCCCAGACACATCAATGCCACTGTTAGTCCATTGTCACAAACTTCAGGGCCCCTCCATGGTGCCCAGCAAGTAATCTTTTTCTCTAGACAGCTTACCTCACCACTTTGAAACTGTTATTTTTCAACTCCTTCAGCTGTCCCTCTGGTCCCTTCGCCCTTAGCAAATGACCTTGCCTTTTACTTCTCCAGAAAAAGATAAAGCATCAGATGGGAACTATGTTCATTTCTTTCCACGCTATCTCCAACTTTCCCTGTATTTTCTCTTGTATTTTTTTCCTGTTTTAAGGGAGGGCAGTGTCTCCTCTCCTGTCAGAGACCATTTCTCTTCTACCTGGTGCTAGGGATTGCATCTGGCTACCTAGGAATCTTAAATATTCTCATCTGTTTTCCTGTTTTGCCTTTTTATTGGATCTTAGCCAATATTAGACATATTCATGCTTCTCACATCTTCAAAATAAAATCCCTTAGATGTTTTGGTGGACCTCTGCTCTGCTTGCCAGAGTCTCTTACTTATTCATAGCTTAATGCCTCATGAGGAGTGTTGACACTTGCTGTCTCCCTTTTTTCTTATTCTGTTCACTGTGACCGTATTCACAGTTCAGTATTGCCATTTCTAGGATCAGCATGATGTCTGCATATCTCTGAGTGCAAAGATTACTCTTAATTCTCATCCTCCTTGATTTTTCAGCATTTGGCACCGTTGACCACTCCTTTCTTCCTTCACTTTGTGACCTTGATTTCTGTGACAAAGCACTTCTTTGGTGTGCCTCCTACTTATCTAACTGTCCCTCCCCCTCCCCCTCTCCTTTTACCCCTTAAATAGAGGCATTCTTGGGGCTTTGTCCTAGATTTTCTTCTCATGGTACATTCTCTTCACCTCATTCACTTGTACGGCTTCATTTAATGCCTCTGTGCAGATGATTCCCAAATTACTGTTCCAGCCTCATTCTCTGAGATTCAGGCTCATATATTTATTTACCTAATTGATGGCTTTATTTTCTGAGAGGTACTTCAGATTTGGTAGGTCCAAAGAAACTCATAATCACTGTCAGAAACCCGGGACATTATTCCTGTCAGTTTCTTCTCTTTCCCTATATCATATATTGCTATTGCCACCAACTATTTCTGTTATCTTTCCTATCTGCAATTACTTTCTGCTTTCATGTCCACTACCTAAGACAAAGCCACCTTCCTCTGTTTTAGAGTATTCAATAACTAGTCTTGTACCATGCACTATATATGTTCTTTTCTGTTCTCTATATTGCCCCCTGAGTTACTGGAAAGCACAGATCTGGAAGTGTCACTGCCTTGGCTGAAATCCTGATATCTTGGAATTCTCACACATGTGTTCTGTCTGGAAATATTTCCAGAATGTTTCCTCTCTTCTTGTGGCTTGCTGCTATCCATCTTTTAAGTCTTAGCTTAAATTTCTGGCAAGGTTTCCCTGACCTATGCTACATACTTCCCTGGGTGCAGTTCCTCTCATTATATCAATACTGTTCCTTCACAGCATTTATCCAGTTGTTATTAACAACAGCTTAGTGTCTGGTTTCTGTGCTAGACTATAAACTATGTTAGGCTGTGGACAATGTCTGTATAACCTTTCTGTCTCTAATACCTACCAAAGCTTCTTGCACAAAATGGGTACTCATATATGTTGAACAAATTAATACACACGGATTTTATATAGTACCCTTTTTTATAGACCATGTTTTTCAGAATCTTCATTAAAAAGATATGCTACTTAGATTCACAAAGGAAGTATTGATAAAATATCTTCAAGTTCCATAAGATAACATTCTTCCATTTTCATATTCTCTTATTTTGTCTTTTTATGTGTAGTAGTCTGTACTTATTTAAATTAAGTGCTCCTTAAAATTAAGGTAAAATTTATATACAGGGAAATGTATAAAAATAACATGTTCAGTGTTTTCCCCAGGCTTTTTAAAGCTTTATTTATTTTTTTATTGTGATTTGAGTGCAAATTTACTGTCCAAAATTTGTTTTACATTCAACAGTTTGTGTACATTTGATTTCACGTCTTGATTACCATCTCCCACCATAACCTGCTCTCCTCCACGCCCATCCTTGTGACACAACCTCCCCCCCCCCGCCCTTCTTAAGTATGCACTCCTGTCTGTCCAGTTTTCCCTCCATGTGAATGCTGCCCTTATGGTGCCCATGCCGATTGCTCTAAGAGGTGTATCTCCCTAGAGTAGGTGGGTACATTGCCCTGAGTTGGGTGTTCTGCATGTAAGTCTTTCTGTTGTTGGGCTGAGAGCCGATCCTTGGGGGTGAGTCCACTCCCAAGCCCGAAGGGTATCCAGGGGCCATAGTCTTGGGGTCCCACCAGACTACATCAGACCAATAATTCTGAACATTTTTGTGTTCTTGAATTTTGTTTTACATTTTTTCTCCCATTCTATCCAGGATCTCCAGTTTTGATCCCTTCCTGAGTGGCTGACATTGGTAGCCAGGCTCAAAATTATTTTTGACAGATGTACGCATCTGGGTAACTAATAATTTAATCAAGATGAGTAAGTGTTTTTTAATTTTCGAAAAGCAAAACATGCTTTTCCTATTGACATGTGTATTACTTTCTTTGAAAACTTTTACCCTTATCCCAGACATCATAGGTCACATTGTCCACTAGATAA